TAATAAACTTTGAAATTTGTTTAAACGAATTCAATTTGTTATAACAAATTTTTAAATTCGTTTTAAGGAATTTAATTCGTTATAACAAATCAAAGAATTTGTTTAAATGAATTCAACAAATTTGTTATAAGAGATTAAAATCATTATAACAAATTCAACGAAATTATTATAATGAATTAAATTCGTTATAATAAATTCGACAATTCGTTATATCAAATTTCAAAAAATATTTATGTAGGTCCTAAATGGGCTTCCGAATATATACAGCTCAACGCACTTTCCAAACTCGCTTGGTTTTTCGCACAAATTGAGATCACATTGTTATAATGCAAAACTGTATAAGGTGACAACAATATATGATTTAAAAGTGATTCATAACCTCATTTTGACCTTATTCCATTACTTTAAACATAATTCACAAATAAAAATTGGTAGGATTTTTATATGCTCTTGACCGATAGATTATGACAGTTCCCAAATGATTTTTTCATGGTATCTCGTCAAATGCAGTCGTCTTTGTATCCGTTCACTATAATGCATACCTTTGCCTTGTCTAGATACAGAAACAGTGCAGTTCATGTAACTTTAGTATTTTCTGTACATTAATATGACACTAAGGCGCAAGATGATACAAGTATTTTTCATCTGTTTGAATGCTCTCTATGTTAAAAAGAGGATATTTTTTTCTGTATAACATTCTGAAATCTAGCATCATGAAAAATACCATTCAACGAAAACTTTCAAAGTTTCAGACCATAGATGTAAGAGTTTTCTTTTCAAAAGTAACGATTTACTATGTTGAAAGATAAATTATACTTCATTATTATATCCTTTTACATGATTTCTTTGCGCAGTTTTGTCATTTTTCAGCGCTGCATTTTGACAAAGACAAGTATGGACAATGTGCAAAGTACTTCGTAAAATACTCATTTGTAAGAATTCAATTTGAACATTTCAACTAAAAAGTTTCAAGAAAAGCTCGATTAATTAATTTGTGAATACCTTTTGTAGAATCATACACATGTAACGTCATAAATGTGTACAAACAAATTCCCTTTAAAAACATCGAGTTTTAAAACTTCAGATACTGATTTTAGAGAATATGCACCTTTATCATGAAATATTATATAATATAAGGTCTATTTCTCCTACTGAAGCTCGATAATTTGAAATTTTATTGCAAGAAAAACAATATCTTAATTTGTGCGAAAAACCATGTGAGATTAACAAGCTGTATATGGTAGTTCAAATTCATTTTGCTTCTTAGGGATATTAAAAATATTCAAAACTGACAAATGATTTTGAAGAATTTCTTCCTTAGAATGGGAACTATGAGTATAAGTTGGATTACCACTTGTAGAATTAAATCCAAGTTCTTCTAAAATACAATTTATATAATGAGCCTTACAAACAAAGACAATGTTGTTACCTACTTTGTCAGCAGGGACCAGTACGTACTGATCATGTAATCTATCTATTTTTTTTTTTCACTTCTGGGGTACTGAATACATACATGTAAGGATAGATGGTTTTCATATTGCCCCTGAATCTTTTAATTCGCGATTTCAACATGGATCTGATACATTTTATCCATTCTGACAACGTGTCAACGTCTTCTTTTTCATATCTGACCTATCGTCTGACGTAATCTTCAATAGAATCCATAATATTTATGAAATTTCAACGCCAGTTGAAGGACCGGGGTTCCCTGAAAGCCCTATCTCTTTTAATTCCAAAGATATGACCAAGGTTAAAGTTTTTGTGACGGACAGACAGCTAGACATACGGGCAGATGAGTGAGATTAAATGTCCCTTCGCTTTCGTGAAAGGTTTAAAACTTCATAATTTACAATGAAGCGAATATCATAGAACTAAGATTTTGGTGGGGCTGTGCAATTCATATATTAATTTTATATTTGATCAAAACTTCTGGTAATGTATGCCGATTTTTTTAAGAATAAACATCACATTAAACTATGAAAAATTATTTTTTAGTAAAATATCTGTGAAAAAGATGCATTGCAAACTTGTGTACATGTATATTGTCTTTAAGGATGTTCATCCAATGTCATTTTAGAACAGGTGATTTGAAAATTTACGTCAAGCTTAAGGTTGACTAAAGTATGTATATTTTTTAATTCTTTTATAAAAATCTTTTAAAATGCCTTAAATTTTAACACCCCCCCCCCCCCCCATTTCACATCAAAGGAACCAAGATCAAGAAATTCACATATTTTGCCTGATCCCAAACGATTTTTTCAATCAAACCGGGTTTAATTAGAACCATTCAGAATGTTCCAAAAAAATAACATTAACGCACAGTTCACGACAGACGACATCTCACAATTATTTGTTATAGCTTTGAAATTTGAATAGAAAAGGAAAATGTTCATCAGTGTAAGTGTTTTCCTATGACGTATTTTGCCTCGGAGTAATTCCCCTTAGTCGCCATCTTGTAGGGCAAAGTAGTGAATTTTCCTCTATGAGCAAACAATTTTTAACATGCATTGTGGCAACGCACTTTGAAATTTTTTTTCAAAGTGCGTTAAAATTGGGACAAAATCAACGCACTTTGAAATTTTTTTTTCAAAGTGCGTTAAATTTGGAACACACTCAACGCACTTTGAAAATTTTTTTTTCAAAGTGCGTCAAGAGTGTACATAAACATTTTTTAACCATGGGGACAGTTAACTCACTTTGAAAAAAAAAATATGTATAAAACAAAAAATTCTAGACTTATTTTAGTAATTGAGAGAATCAATTTGTGAAAATTACTGTAAACGTATTACATTTGGCGGTGTATTCATTTTAGCGCTTTTGGCGGAAAGATACTTCCGCTAATTCAAGTACATCGCTAAATGTCTTTAACATTGATACATGAATAAGAACATCAAGAAATGCGCTAAATCAAATCTACGCTAACTTGTTTAAAAATCATTTTCCGCTCAACACCGTACACGCCAAATATAATACATTTACAGTATAATTACTGTATACAGGGTTAGTTTCGCCCTGTGTTATTTTCGCCCTTTTGCACTTGCGAACAATTCTGTCCCATTTTAAATTCGCCCAGTCATAGTTCTGTTTCAGAAATTATGCCGTATAATTAAGATTCGCCCTGTTTTAAATTCGCCGAATTGAGAGAGGGCGAAAGGATCGAAAATAAAACGGATTCGAAAATTTCCCTGTATACAGTATTGAAAAACTTTTTTTAAATTTACATGTACTCATTTCACCTCATTGGGAACAAGGAGAAGATGAGTAGAAGGTCTCTCATCCCGACTTTTTTTAGTACATTAGCAAATTGAAAGTTGAACCCCTCCCAAGGTAAGCCCCAATTTTTTATGCATATCTTATGTATATCTTTGCAAAACATTTGTGCGCCTACCCCCTCCTCGCCCCCATCCCCCTTCCCGGTGCTGATGCTTATGCTACACCCAAATATATGTATTTATATAACTGGTATGACGTTGAAAACTTTCAATAAATTTCAGTTTATACATAAAATGCATGCAAACTAGAAAACATTAGGAACAGAAAAGAATTTTCAAAGTATGGAAAAATCAAAATCGCCTACTTTCACACCCTGAAGTGACCTCATCACCGAAGAGTTATCAAACAGGTCCAATTATTTATCCCATACGTGTTGGTGATACAGGCCATTAGATAAACTTTTGCTTTATCCACGGGTAGGTGTTTTATCAATAGCACTTCCAGTTTTGACACGATCCCTCGCTTCAAGATTCTATTTTATTGAAACTTTTATTTGTGAAAATTATTGCCCTTAAAAATGAATGGTAAAGAGCGATAATATCGTTAAAAGCAAGAAAAAAGACTCGTATATGTCAAAAAAGTGTCTTATTCTATCAAGGAGCCTGTATTGGCTACTTGAAGACAGATGTTACATCCCCCTTTAAATCGTTTAAATAGAACATCTATAAATGTGTGATTTGATATTGGCTTTATCCAACTCCTTAAAATGGTGTATATTCGCTCTGCAAGCCTCGCGAATATATACACCATTTCAACTCGTTGGATAAAGCCATTATCAAATCACACAATATAAATATCCTCTATTTATCATACCTAAGATTTGCAAGAATATTGACCAATCCATACACATTTTTTCAAAGTGCGTTAATATGGTCGATATTAACGCATTTTGAGAAGAAATTTTATTTTTTCAAAGTGCGTTGATTTGGTTCCAAATTTAACGCACTTGAAATTTTTTTCCAAGTGCGTTCTCACAAGAAAAATTATTTCATATCAATAAATAATGATGTGAATTTGACTTCACATTTTCAAATAACAATGCATGCAAGAAATATATGGGGGAAAATATTTACAATCTTATAATTATGAATTAATGGGGGATTTAACAAGCGTATATTAATTAAGGAATCACTGTCTAGTTAGTATCCAATGTTTCCCACTATTGTTGATGTCCCTGGCATACTATACTAACTAGACAGTGATTCCTTATATTTCCATTTCATTGTGAAATAAAATTGTAGATTTAGACTTTCAAAATGCAGACATAGATTTAAATTTCAATAGTACTCGCCCACTGACGTCAAACACAACGGCAGCCGCACGAAATTTCATGCACATTTGGCCTCCTTAGCGTCGGACCCAGAGACAGATGCGCACGAGATTTGCATGCATATTAGGGCTCCTCAGCTCCTGACCTATTGACCTGCCTAATTTACATTCCGGTAGAATTATCAAGAAATTAGCTCCGCTAACTTTCAAAGAGTTACATATATGATAGAGAGAAAAATTAGAAATGGAAATATTAAGAAAAAGAGTGTTATCTTTACCTCAGTAACTAGTATAACAAATTGAACTCGGTTGAACTATGAAGGGATCTGAGAATGTTGACCTACAATATGGCGACCATTGGGAATAACTCTAAATTATCTCAATGGAAAACACACTATTAGATAATAAGTCAGTTTATCTATCCTTTCAAAACTTTAAAAAAAAGAGTTTTAACATACCGTGAGCTTCTATATACTGTATACTGCTGGGATGAACGGCTGATTTTTCAAAGATTCTCTCTAAGAGCCTAACCTGCTGAACACCGGCTGGCGCCGTGATCGGAGAATTCTCGTGTCCGTCTTGATTGCAGGCAGTGTCTATGATTGCCCATACTTTGTTGTTGTCACGAATAGCCTAGGGATAAAAATTATGAATTTAAAAATTAAATTACATTATCCATTCATACAATAGTTCAACATTCTGTAATTCAAGAAATATAAGCATCAGAAGCAAGTCAGAGAGAAGTAAAAAGGACATCTGTTTAATGTACCTCTCGAGAATTTGTCATTCATATTGACACGCCACCACTTGCAACTGCCGGTGGAAAGCTGCAAATTTATACCTATGCACGGCACTCCGGGCCATTGAGCAGCGAGGTTTCTTTAATTGCAAACACTTACTGCGAAAGGGGACCTTGGTTTGTGAGGTCTTATACAAAGAACCGGTCTTCACGTCTAACAGAGGGATTTGAACGCGCGACTTAAGGATTGACTATCTAGAGCAGAAGCTCTAATCACTGCGCCACACAGACGACAAGATACAGTAATTTGAGATGATAGAGTACCATTTCCGTTGGTAGCAAGCTTATTTTAGAGTACCGGTCTGACTTGTAGAGAAGGCTTTCCCCCAACCCCCAACCCCTCCGGAAAACTGGCTCTAGAGTAGAATCCCCCCAGAACACTGGCTCAAAAGTCGGACCCCCCCCCCACCCACCCGGAAAACAGGCTCTAGAGTAGGATTTCCCCTACGGAAATCCCACACCAGAGTTAATCTTCCGGGGGGAAATCCTACTCTGTATAGTAGTTATAGAGTGCGATTTCCCCAAGGGCCAGCCCCCCCCCGCAATAAAATATAATTGCTCTTCTTCTACTGAGGAGGAATGGTTGGCACACTGCTTCAAGTGTCCATTCAAAATGGTGACCAGATGTATTGAACATACGTATACGAAAAATGAACATGAAAATTTTCAATCCGATTTTTCTTGGCTATACCGTCAAACCATTTTTCAAAAAAAAAACAAATAAATTGATGAAACTAGAGAGGACTATAAATTTCTTCTGTGTCTGTCTGCCCGTCCGTCTTCCTATCCGTCTCTCTGTCTGTCTGTATGTCTCCAATGATTTTCAGCACTTTTTTCTAAATGCTTGAAGATATCGAGCTGATTTTTGGTCAGTAAAAGTTCAAGTTTGCGTTTCGTTTCGTTTCGCTTCAGTTTTATTAAAGGAATTACGACCTTTTCAATCTTTAATAGTTTTTGCAATGTTTTTCTACACGATTAAAGATATTGAGCTAATTTTTGGTAAGTTAATTTCACGTTTTCACTTCGTTCAACTTCAATGAATTTTTACGGAATATTTTTAACTAGATTTATCTAAAATACACTTGCCGTTAGGGGACAAGTATTGCTAACGCAATACTCTAAGAATGCTTGTTATAAATGTATTGTACAATGTAAATATAACATGGCAAATATGAAAATCCATAAGGATAAATAACACAAACAATTTCTTTCATATTAAAATTCAGAAATGTTGGCTAAATTAGATGCTTTTCTCAATTTAGAAGTGATATTTCTTAAGTAAAATAACCCAGCCAAAATGAAATAATTTGGCGAAAAGTTCAAATATGCAACTTTACAGTAAGTTCAACATGTTTCTTAAAAAATTTATGAAATGTATGAATTTTTCTTGCTGCAAAAATTCTGGGGACATTTTCAAGAATGTATTTTAATATTTAACAAAATCCAAACATCCATTTTTTGTTTGTTTCATCATATTTTGAGAATATTTATATTTCTTTGGAAAGTTATATATTTTGGTTGAGATTCCATGATTTGAAAAATATGCCTAGAAAATTCTTACAATATAAATTGAAAAAAACCCCACTCATTTACCTTTTAAAAATCAGTTTGTCGTTGATCTTTTTTTTTTTTTTTTGGAAAAATGTTGCTACTGTGTTTGGATTGACTATAACCTGGGGGAAATCCTACTTTGAGAAAGAAAGGGGGGGGGGGAGTATTTGGCTCTGATGTACAATTTCCGGGGGGAAAGCTGGCCATGGAGGAAATCCTACTCTATAACACCGGTAGTGAAAAATTATATATGTTTTTCATGTCATAGCCGTTTTTGCAAATATAAGTTTTATTAACTCATATCTTTACCGAATTTGTCCTATAAATTAAACTTAATGATAAACCATTCTAGTACCGTGTACTTTTAAGGACAGATGATACAAAAAAATGAATGCCTGGATTGGTATATAGTTCTGGGCCTATTTTTGTTGCAAATGATACAACTAATAAATTTCTAAAATATTAAGAAATTGTAAATCTTCTATCATGATCTAAATTCTACCTTTCCTCAGCTATCCTTAATAATCTATACAAATATTTTTCACTACCAATTCCATTTTTGTGTAAATATGAATGACATTTTAAAAACTATGTGGATAAACTTGTTCATTTTACTCGTTGAAACATGTTTCAGGTTGTTCATTTCAATTTTTACGACAAAAGTGTGTTTGTATCATCTGTCCTTAACTTCAACTCAAATATGAATTTTCTATTCAAAAATGAATTTTTAAAGTTTTACTTAAAATATTTTATGTACATTGGAATGCTCTGCTCTACGTGTAAGAGTTATCGCGCTTGCATTATCCTTGGAATTAGGAGAGGCAGATGCAACCGATTCTTGGAAATGGGAACATTTAGTAAACGCCCAATGAAAATCGTGCACGGTAAAAATCTGGACCCGGTCGTCCAGTTAGCGTCACTTTTCAGTTTCTTTTAGGACGCCGTGAAAAGTACACGTGTGTTGGATAGCTTCAAATTATTTTAAGCGGTAAGGTATTTGTTTTTTATCATACAATTTAATTGTTTTATTGAACTTGATCAAATTTAATTTAAAGTATAAATTTAATCAAGTACATGGCGGTTTCAGACCACAAGAACGTTTGATATATTATGTAATCAATTACGCCATATATTATGTAATCACGGTTTACATATAAATCATATTCATAATTCGGTTTCATTCTAATGTGAATTTTTGATACAGATAATAAGTTGTTTATTCATAATTTTATGGATTTCATGATCAGTTATTACATAATCAATTACAAGTATTTTCTATAATTAAAGTCACATTGGTGGCAAAGTGCAACATACCTAAATCTCTTGTTGTTTATGAGAATGGAGAGTGAAGGCGGTTTCTTGAAATTCTGCGATAGCACAATAACTGTGAGTTGGGTTCACGGCAGTACATGAAAATCTTAATGAACGAGAAGTTCCACAAACTAGTTATTAGGTAAAAATGAATTTGCATTGGCAATTGTACATAGATGAATTTTAAGTTTTACTTAAAATATTTTATGCACATTGGAATGCTCTGCGTGTATGAGTTATCGCGCTTGCATTATCCTTGGAAAGTTTTTGGCATGTCCATATTAGGAGAGGCAGATGCAACCGATTCTTGGAAATGGGAACATTTAGTAAACGCCCAATGAAAATCATGCGCGGTAAAAATCTGGACCCGGTCGTCCAGATAGCGTCACTTTTCAGTTTTTTTTAGGACGCCGTGAAAAGTGCATGTGTGTTGGATAGCTTCAAATTATTTTAAGCCGCCTCCACCTCGCCACCTGTTCCTTTTTTAGGACGTTAAATTCTGTCTATTTCTTCTTTTCTTGGTGTTTAATGTGTTTTACGTTGTTTTCGGTTTCAGACCACAAGAATGCTTGATATATTATGTAATCAATTACGCCATATATTATGTAATCACGGTTTACATATTAATCATATTCATAATTCGGTTTCATTCTAATGTGAATTTTTGATACAGATAATAAGTTGTTTATTCATAATTTTATGGATTTCATGATCAGTTATTACATAATCAATTTTTACAAGTATTCTCTATAATTAAAGTCACATTGGTGGCAAAGTGCAACATACCTAAATGTCTTGTTGTTTATGAGAATGGAGAGTGAAGGCGGTTTCTTGAAATTCTGCTATAGCACAATAACTGTGAGTTGGGTTCACGACAGTAATTGAAAATGTTAATGAACGAGAAGTTCCACAAATTAGTTATTAGGTAAAAATGAATTTGCATTGGCAATTATACATAAAAGAATATATATATACAATAAAATGCTTACATCACCAAGGCGTTTTAGAAGCACAATTCCACATCCCTCCCCTCTCACATAGCCATCAGCATTCTGGGAAAAAGTGTGACATTTTCCAGCCCTTGATGCCATACGTGCTTTAGACAAGCCTATAGACGTTGCTGGACTCAACAAAACGTTGACTCCCCCACATATCGCCATCTTCATTTCACCTTTTCAAAAAAAAAGGAGAGAGAGAGAAAGGTGTACATAATACAGTCAATAAAAAGTTAAAAGCATAGTGCCATGGACATGACCTACGATTTTGCTTCCTTAGAGACGTGATGCATTATATTCGTCAACTTAAGGTGGAATGTCACACCAACTTTTTATTTTATAGATCTTTGACTCATCCTTTTTAAACAATGGTTTCAGCATTGAAAAACCGATATTAGCTCTTAATTATTTTACATTAATTTTATTGTATTTTATCAAAGAAAATGGGGAAAAAAATTATATCCCAATAAGCTGTTTTCGAGAAATACTTTTGCTGAAAATGAATGCATCATATGAATATCTAATAAAATATATGAAGAAAGGCTGGTTAGACTTTTTAATTTTTTTTTTATAAAAAATTATTTGAAAATAAAAGACACTATTTGTGAATATTTTTTAAACCTATGATTAAAAACATCATAAAACTAGTCACAACTGAAGACAACATGTTTGTCAATCATATTTTAAAAAGAAATTGAAACGAAATTGAGAAAATTACGATAATTTTTTTTTTTTATATTTGGACCTTACCCGATCAAAATTAAAATGATCCCGATCAAAATTAACACAAAATGAATAAAATGCTAATTTATTGCCTCTTCATGTATTTACAATGAAAAAAATTCCTTTTATTGACAAGTTCAATAATGTTTAATCCTTATTACACCTTATCAAACTAGCGTTCTTGGGGAAATGTTATTTATTTTCAATAATTGTACAATTATGGTTGGGATCGGTTTAATTTTGAGCAGGATTGGCCAAAATTAAAAAAAAAATTAATTTCTCTAAAATTTGGCTATTTCGTTTCAAGTTTTTTTTTATATAAATATGATAAACGAACATGTTCTCCCCAGCTGTGACTGGTTTTAAGAAGATTTTAACCATAAGTTTAGAAAATATTCACAAATTATGTCGTTTATTTTCATAAATATTTTTTATTAAAAAAAATTAAGATCTATACGGCTTTTCTTTACATATTTTATTAGGTATTTAAGTGATGCATTCATATAGGCCTACGGCCAAATTTTTACAAGAAAGCATCTAATTTGGATGTAAATATTTTTTTTTTATTTTCTTTGAAAATACAAAAAAATTCATATAAAATAATTAAGAGCTAATGTTGGCCTTTTGAAACCATTGTTTAAAAGGGTCGACACAGAGATATATAAAATTAAAAAAAATGGTGTGGCATTCCTCCTTGAAAGCCATTGAAAACAAAATTACTCTATAGTAAGCGTTAATTTGTTGCAATCGTATTTGCTATAAACGTATTTGACTGTATAATCTAACGATGAAGAAATATACATGCAGTAAATATATTTTTTTTAAAAATGTTAATAAAAAAATAAGCATGTTTATTTACCAGTTTTAATGGCCTGTTGTGCGGTATGAATGGCGACAAGTGAAGACGAACAAGCAGTATCTATAGACACTGCCGGACCGTGGAGGTTTAAAAAGTAGGAAACTTGCGCGGATATGATACTTCTACTAATGCCTGTCACTGAGGTGTTGGTTAATACGTTAGGATCTATCCCAGTGATTGCTTCAAACTCTCCATTCATCACGCCTTAAGAGAAAAAGAAATCTTTTCTAGATATAAAAACTGCTTTTATTTTCAAAATCATGATGCTACTTTAAGATTTCATCATATTCTGCACACGACTCATGAAGTTTGAATGCCTCCATTATGCACTGAAATATATACGTGTATAAGAAGATCTCTAGCTAATTAATTCACTCAAATCAAAGTTTCATAAGTACTGCCTTGTTCGCATACGTTCACGCAAAAATACTTTGATTTCTTCTACAATTGCAATTTCGATAAATTGAAACTATTATATCATTTCAAAAGACAACATGAACAGTTCCATTCCAATTTTCTCGTATTAGATCAAAAAATATTATGTTTCTCTTACTTCCATTTTTAAGAGATTGCTCTTGGTTCTTCGTTAAATATATTAAATCATTAATTTTTTAACTGTGATGTCAAGACATGATTTTGCATTTACGTTGATATTTTTCAAGACGTGCATATCGGATCTAAAAACCTCTTATACTTGAACAATTTTATCCACAAAACAGAAAGTTAAATTTTTTAAATAATTAGTTAAAATATTTTTTATAAACTATCTAAATTGAAACGAAGAACACACCTATATATACTCCTGTATCCGATTGGTTGAGCGATGTTTTGGTGATTCCGGCGTCTTCCAGAGCCTTGTAGGTGCACTCTAGCACCAATCTCTGTTGGGGGTCCATTCTCTTTGCCTCATTTTCACCAATTCCGAAAAATTTGTAATCCCATTCGTTGATCCTGTAATCATGATAAAAATAGAGGTACTCTGAGCAATGAGATCACTAAATGATACCTCCGCCTCCCATATGATTATAATGGCAACGTCCATGTTTTGCTGTGGCAGGGAAACCCAACATATTTGTCGGATCAAAAAGTAAAATTGGAGTTCACAATGGCAATATGTAATAAAGATTCTGTGAAAGTTTTATCAAATTTCACTAGTTGCGGATAAGAGATAGGTACCCCAAAGCGTAACAGACAGAAGGACGGACATATTGATTACAGTATACCCTCCCACTTTTCAAGCGGGGGTATAATAAAATCAAAATTTCACACCAAAATACTTCGTGAATGATATAATTGATGAAAGAAAGATGAATTCGATAAACTAAATTAATCAAGTGCGAGAAACACTTCTCATGTTATTGTCATTTGATTATGGTAATATTATGATTAAAATAATAAAAATTATACTTTTCTTTAATTTTTTTTATACCTACATCTTAATATAACTTAAAAACTCTTTCTTTTTTAAAATCTATTTTGACACATTAAAAATTTTAGAATGACTACCTATTAAGAAATAAAAGAAAATTAGACTATTATTATTTTAAAAATTTATGTAAGCTAAAGAATTAATTTAATGATTCCTTAATTTGATGATTCCTTAATTAATTAAATGATTCTTTAATTTGATTCCTACCCGGAAACTAATCCAGCTTTTCTGATGTATGTTTTACCAGGCGTGTCAGGATCGCTATCATAAAAAGCTTCGACATTGAATCTTTCCTTGGGAATATCTTTAACGTGGTCTTCCCCATTCTTAAGAACATTCCAAAATTCATCCACATTTTCTGCTCCAGGAAATTTGCAGCCAATTCCAACGATTGCGATGGCATCTTCAGTGTCCATTTTGCATATGGTTTTAAAGTTGAAAAATTTTGCACGGGAACATTTTAGTAGACATTTTTTTTTTCAAACTGAGGGTAAGCTCGATCGTGAATTTATATACTAACTCTGTTTCTATGACATTGGTTTAAGTTACATAAAATATTATTGGATGAAACAATTCTTGACTGGCAGTTAAATTTAAATATCTATTTGAAAGGACAACATGACCTGATTGAAGTCAAAACATAATGCACAAAGCACAATAAAAACACGTGATATGATAGTTGTATAGCTCTTTAGGTACTTTCCCTAGGGTGGTTTTTATTGAAAAGTTTCGGAAAAAACCATAAGCATGTGCCAAATTTTAGGTACGCTCCGTATGGCATGTACTTTGGAAATTTTATGACAATTTTAAAAGTACATGTATGTAATAAATTTAATTCCTAATCAAACTTGAAAATCTCATTTCGAGAACAAAAGCAAAATTTACTTTCAGCTTACAATAAATTGCTATTAAAATAATAGAAGGAGTTTAGATTGAAACGAAGATTCCAAACAACTACATGCAGTTATACACCCTGCAATATTACAATGCATTATTATGTGTATTCTTAGCTTTTTTTTCAGTAAAAATCTAGCAGATTGCCCATCTGAAATTTAAAAAAAATCCTTTCAAAAGATCCTAGGTGGAATTTTGAAAATTACGATTATTTATATGCAAAAGTTAACGTAGAGCAAAGAAGGTATTCCCATGGTTATGGCTATTAGTGAAACTTTTGTTTCTTTGTTTGTTTAAACACTTGCAAATGAAAGGCTGCAAATTTAGACCTATATTTGGCACTCAAGGCCATTGAGCTTTGAGGAATACTTCTTGTATGAGCATCTACTTCGACAAGGGACATTGGATTACCCGGTCTTATTAGAATGACTGGTTTCCACTCCAGCTGTGAGATCCAAACCCACGACATAATGATTAATTACTTTATTCTTGACTCTGGAGTAAATACTCTGATTAATGGCCCACGCAGAAATAAGTAAAAAATATCGAACAAGATAAATGCGACATCCTAAGACTTTACTAACTGTAGCAATTTTTTGTATCTTAATTGTAATGTTTTAGAATTTACTAGAATTGCTACACAATCTGTTTATAATTGATTTGACACGTAAGCAAAGTTAGCTCTCTGACTCTCACAGAGTTCAGTAACCTACTGACATTATTCTGAAATTGAGTCACCTATATTTCTGTTTCCCAGGCTCCGAAGACTATAGAATATAAAATGATTTTGGTACAAAGACACCTACTTGCTTACTGATATCTAATGTAGTCAGGCTGTACATATATTTGTATTTATTAGATAAACTATATAAAATATATTCCAGTGTTGTTTCTGATATATTGAATTAATTCTTAAGGCTATATTCTTTTACAGATTTTTTTTTTTAAATTTGCAAAATAAAAATAATTTGTTCGTTTATCTTGGTTGAATGTGCGATGGTGTCACTTTTGGAGGTTGAATTTCAAAAATTAGAAAAACAAAATTGTTATTTCTGTAGTTATATTTTGTTTTCTACTGCATATGGTGTTTGCCTCTAAACTGATTCCATACTCAAAAGCATACATTCAGCAAATTCATTCATTAGCCAAGGTATGCTACTACGGAAGCCCATTTAGGACCTATAAAAATATTTTTGAAATTTGATATAAAATTGTCGAATTTGTTATAACGAATTTAATTCATTATAACAATTTCTTTGAATTTGTTATAACGATTTGAAACTGTTATAACAGATTTGATGAATTCATTATAACGAATTCTTGAATTTGTAATAAGGAATTAAATTCGTTAAAACGAATTCAAAAATTTGTTATAACAAATCAAATTCGTTTAAACAATTTCTAAAATATGTTATAACAAATTAAATTCGTTTAATCAAGTTCAATAATCAGGGCCTATAGAAAAATATGTATGTATTCGATATAACGGTTTGTCGAATTCGTTTTAACGAATTTAGTTCGTTATAACAAATTGTGGAATTCGTTTAAACGAATTCAATTCTATATAACAAGTTTTAGAATCTGTTATAACGAGTTTAATTCGTATTAACAAATTTTTGAATTCGTTATAACGAAATCAACAGATTTGTTATAACAGATTAAATTCATTATAACGAATTCAAAGAAATTATTATAACGAATTAAATTCGTTATAACAAATTCGACAATTCGTTATATCGGATTCAAAAATATTTTCGATAGGTCCTAAATGGGCTTCCGTACTACGCTACTGAGATTGTGTTACAAAGATTTCAACAACTTCCGTTTAAAGTCAGTACATGTATTCTGTAAATCCTATGGCCTTTTAAATTGACCATGTTAACAGATATCACTTACCGATTTTTAACTGACATATTTCATGCGGATTGTTACTAAATTTGACCGATCCGCAGCTTGTTCCTTTTGTTTCACATTTCATATAACAGCGGGTGTAAACTGTCGACAGCGAATGCTCGGTTCTCCTTAGTACCACCCATGGAATTTTCTGTTTTCGTGTTTCGTTCCGTGTCCATTGATTTTATTTTTTCAGCTTTTTTCCAGATCAAGCACTATTTATGGCCTTTTTAAGGAGCATATCGGTATTTCTCTCAATTTCTTAATTTTTCATCAAAGAATTTTCCAAATTTTGTTAATGGAAAATTAAATTGAACACATTCAACACTATTCAACTTCAAAAGTTGTCCACCTTTAGATAGAAAACTTCTGGGTTTGATTTCATAACTGCTATGCATGAAAATATTACACAGATGGTATCACTTTAAGATATGTGAGTTATGTGATCCTTAGAAATGTACATATATAATATGATATAAATTAAATATATAATTGTAAAAAGTCAAAAATAACAAATTAAGGTCGGTAAGTTTCATTCTTCGTGAAAACATTGCCAATACCTTGTATGTGTTGTTCTTCCCAAACATTCATTACTGTTCCCTGTGGGCATGCGCAGGTCATCTTGTATATCCGGACACGACCGTCTGTGTTGTGAGGTACTTGAAACTCTTGGAAAGATAATGACCTGGATAATAAACAAAAAAAGGTGAATTGCATGTTACCATAGTAACTGTTAAAGAAAAAAACATTTCCGAAGAAATATAATTTCTAGGAAAATAATATACGTTTTGTTTCAATGGTTTGAAAGTATTTCTTGTAGAAAAACAAGTATATCGTACCTATTTCATATGTCCATTTAAATGATCTATTTTGTGAGAGAGAATGAACAGGCTTTGTAGTAGATGCCCTATCATCCTCAGCTTTGCTAACTTTTCTCTTGCATAATTAACATGCTCTCAAAGTATATAAAAGTAATGGAAGAAAAAACGCACCGTGCAATAAACCAAAGGTGATGACCAGAAACATAAGCTTAAAAAAAGACACAAAAATATAACTGCTAGAAAATGCTAGCATTATTATTCCCAAATAGGTCGAGAGTGCAGCATTAACGATAGGACCACCAGCACGGCCCATTGCTTTCTATAGAATTTCATTTGCATCCTCCCATTCCACCGAAAAAAATGCATGGCAGATATGAACACTAAAATCTACAGAAAAGCCAACACTCATGACCAAATGGATCATGGTAATAAAACTCAGAGTGAGATCCAAATGGATCATGGTAATAGAACTCAGAGTGAGATCCAAATAGATCATGGTAATAGAACTCAGAGTGAGATCCAAATGAATCATCGTAATAGAACTCAGAGTGAGATCCAAATGGATCATGGTAATAGAACTCAGAGTGAGATCCAGATGGATCATGGTAATAGAACTCAGAGAGAGATCCAGATGGAAAATGGTAATAGAACTGAGAATGAGATCCAGATGGATCACGGTAATAAAACTCAGAGTGAGATCCAAATAGATCATGGTAATAGAACTCAGAGTGAGATCCAAATAGATCATGGTAATAGAACTCAGAGTGAGATCCAAATGGATCATCGTAATAGAACTCAGAGTGAGATCCAAATGGATCATGGTAATAGAACTCAGAGTGAGATCCAGATGGATCATGGTAATAGAACTCAGAGTGAGATCCAGATGGAAATGGTAATAAAACTGAGAATGAGATCCAGATGGATCACAGTAATAAAACTCAGAGTGAGATCCAAATAGATCATGGTAATAGAACTCAGAGTGAGATCCAAATAGATCATGGTAATAGAACTCAGAGTGAGATCCAAATAGATCATGGTAATAGAACTCAGAGTGAGATCCAAATAGATCATGGTAATAGAACTCAGAGTGAGGTCCCAATAGAACATGGATCCAAATATTCCAGCAAGGATACTAATACATTGTATTTAATTATTAAGGCTAGTAAGATCGTATTTGCAAGTAATATCACTTTAAACTGAGTAAATATATGTTTCGAAAAATTGTCATAGGGTTTTTAATCATTTGACTCATTTTTATTCTTTGGTTTTCATTTAAAAATACACTCTTTAGTACCTATATCTAACAATCGATATGTATCACGCGTTTTGTTTGATTTCAAGCATTCACATGTAAATAAATACTTTGATTTGATTTTATTTGATTTGAGTGTTTAAACACAGTTATTTTATGTGCAATCTATCAATTCGAATAAGACTAAAGACACACATTTTTTTCATCGCCTGATTTTTAGAACCAGACAACCAAAAAAAAAAACATCAGAAAGGAAAAGAGTTTTGGTTTCGGTCCCATTCAAATTTACATCGAATGAAAATTAAAGTGCATTAGCATGTTTGAAATTAAGCAAAAATTATCCTTGAAATCCAATGTCCCTTTAAAAATGATCATCATTTTTGGACTGTTACGCAAAAGAATTGAATTAACAGTAGAAATACACGTGTGTGAACCAGAAAGTCCAATTATTTTTCTCGACGATTCTCGGAAATACTCCATGATCTCTGACCTAAATAAAAGTTTTGATTACATCATTTCCATGGGATACTTTATATACCTATTGTTTCACAGACAA